AGACCTCTCTTAGATTTGTTCATTTCATGATGATATCTTTAATTCTCTAATTTGATGAATATTTTTGTCATTTTTGGTAAAAAGTGATATTTTCGACTTCTTCTTGAAAACGCGAGTCTGATTGCTTTGATATTATATATATAGGTACTACAGGTAGACCTCTCTCAGATTTGTTCATTTCGTGATGATATCACTAATTCTCGAATTTTGATGAATAACAGCGGAGCTATCTCAGTCGAGAGGCTGCTTGTTTAAAACTTTGAGACAACTTTGTTCGGAAAATAAATTTATTTCAGAATTTTTCAACAGTTTTGAAATCATTGGTGAATTAATCAATATTGTTTGAAATGAACAAAGATTCTCATGTTTTTTTCAGTGAATTTTGCGGAAATAATGTCACCAATCTTATTTTATGAGTGGATTAAATCTAAATCTTGAATTACTATTTTCTAAAATAACATGCTAGCTAAGCGATTACTTTCAGTAAGAGGACGCTGTCATTGACAATATTTTGGTTAATACAAAATGTTCACCATAGAGGGCTCTGTTGAGTCAAATTGTAATACACTTAGGATTCAAGAAGAATACTGTAAAAGGATTAATTATTCACTGGGTTTTAATTTTGTTTATTTAGCTGACTGGAAAATGTGCTAAATTAAAACCCAGTGAATATTTAAAATTTAGCATAGAACACATTATCTAAATGACGAAACCGTGAATTTAAAACCCACTGAATATGCCTGAAATGGTAAATCAGTGAAATTTAAACCCAGTGAAAATTAGGCATTTTACAGTAGGTGATTTTCCATTCACTGCATGATCTCTAGTAAATCGTGAATGTCTGCCACAAAATGATTTGATATTGGACTTTAATTTCTTGTTTTTATTGTTCAATGTTGGAATATTAATCTTTACAGAGAGGAATGTAACAATGAGATATCTTTATTTCATCAAAATTGTATATCAACAAATGTGTCTAAGCACATTATTAGGCTGGCACCCAAAATACCCAAAAATACTTGCATTTGTTGACTCTCAAGTAATGTTTTGATGCTGATATGACCTTTGTTTGTCTTGTTTTTATGTTTGATTTCACACATAGCACTCACACGTAGATCACGCAGTGAATAGGAAATGGTGATGTACTGTAAATAACTTTATTTTAGCTGGAATTAATTTTCGCTGAAAAGACTTTTTGTGTGTTTTCTATGGAGTTTTTAGTTATGAGTTGAATGTAAAGTTTCTTAGCATTGGACACGCTGCAGTTTCACGACAGTTTTGAGCCAAATTAAAAGTTGTTTTTACATTACTAGAGATTTTATACTGAGGAGGGAGAGTACGTCAGGGATACATGGACAGAAAACTTGATTATAGCGGTTTGATGGATTTTGTAAAATCAAAAGTGCCTTCCTTGAGCCATGGACGTACTAGTACATCCATGCTTGAATGAATCACTTTTTCAACTGCAGTTTGAAAATGACGAGGGTATGACGACTGTTATTATGTCTAGTCCATTTTTTGTAACGGGTACAACCAGAGGTACATTACTTGGGGTTTGCAACTTGCATAGTACTGTATGGTGACATCATGTCAAGATCCCATTGAAGTCTCATCTCGTAGATATCGAGACTGAGGCTACGACCTTCTGACATGACATATATCAATGTTCAAGGTTTGTAATGAAAAAATAAAACTTTTCTTGCCACTATCATAGTGAAAAATGTAATACATCGAAAATGTACAGAAAATATAGTTCTCGTAATTTGTCATATCGTGGGCAGCTATTTTGATCCACCTGGACATCCCAGTATCCTAGTTACCTCGGGCATGCGCATTAGCATTTTTCTGAGTTGGAACGCTTATGCGAGAGCGAGATTGTGACGGGATTTTGGTATCATGTGACCGTAGTTACAAACCCCAAGTAATGTACCTCTGGTACAACTGACTAAAATGAGCGAGGGATTGACATTTTTTGACAGATTTAAGCAACACCCAACTTGCGATTTTTAAAATTGCTGAAAATAATTACAATATAAATATAAAAAATGACTAGACTAGTTTGTATGAACTATAACTGTGGTCCTCGCTAGAATTACTATTATTATTTATTGTATATTTTCTGTGAAATATAAACAACAACACTAAAGAATGGTTTCTGCACACTAGATAATACTTGCAATTCACCATACCGTGAAACCCCTATGAAATAGTAATCCCAAACCACACGTCCGTCAATCAGGTGGCGCCGAAAAGTGGGCAAAGACGAAAGTGTTTTTGCTAACTGACGGTCTGAATAATTTTCAGAACGTACTTTATTTTAGCTAGAACTAATTTCACTGAAAAGTCAATTTGGGTGTTTAGTATGGACTTTTTTTTTCACTGATTTTTTTAATGAGAATGAGAATGTAGAATATAGGAACTAAAGGTATATTTGCTGAATTCACTGAATCCTCATCCCTTCAGCAAGAA